TTTTTTTTGATACAGGAGGTCTTCACTTTGTTTGCCCCAGGTCTAGAATGATAGATTGAGTGCCGTGGCATCAGCCTCGCTCACGCAACCTCAAAACTCCTGGGGGCTCAAGCGATCCTCCTGCCTCAGGGGGGGCTCCGAGTAGCTGGGACACAGCATGCGCCCATGCCTGGCTAATGTTTTTTGTGTTATATATTTTTGTAGGTTGGTCATTAATTCTTTCTACTTTTAGTAGAGACGACGGTCTCACTTCAGGCTGGGTTATCAAGACTCCCGACTTCCTCAAGCAATCCGGGCCCGCCTCGGACTCCAGCAGTGCTAGGATTACAGGCACGAGCCACCCACGCCAAGGGCCTATTTCATTTTAAACATTAATGTTCAGAAAATAGCAAGTTTTTTGTGGTGAAACCACGTGAGTGTTCCTTGGTTTTTCTCCTTCATTCTGGCTCCTGCTCTTTGGGGCTTTGGGGCACCAGGACAATAAGTCTCGAGAGACAACCATCTTGCAAGTGATAGCACCAGATGTTCAGGTATCTTTTTTTCTCGCTCTCCGCTGGATACACACTTTCACCAAACGGTGATTCTTGTGGGTAGCTGAAGTTTTAGCAAATTACACATAAAGTTAAGTCGAATTGCAGGATGTTTAGTGATTTGAATAGCGCTCTTATAGACCTCCCCCCCCTCGTATAGGGCCGATCACCTGTGGTTTGCTTACCGCAAGCATCAGCACCCGACTGGATGGGAGTGGCTGTATATATACAGCGGCAGGCCCAGGAGTTATGCGTGATGCAGAAAGAAACTGAATTCGGTCTCAATTTATAAAACGGGAAGGGGCAGGGAGGAGGTGATTGGTCAGGTCTTTTTTTTTTGTTTAACCTAATTTTGTGGAACTGCTGTTGAATTCCTTATTACCCAGAAAGAGTATTTCAATAAGCAGGGTGAAAGCCAGGCACCATAGCTGGACTTGGTTTTGAAACCATTGAGGGAATGTAGTTAAAAACAGGCTGTCACTCTAAGAACACGGGCTGCCATCAATAACACATTAGCAGGATCCTTTGTGTTTTTGTTTACTTTTCACAGGACTTGTAAAGTGGTTGCAAGTCGGGGCACAGTAAGTTGTTCAGGTACTTTATTTATTTAAAAAATATTTCTTTTCTCTCTTCTCTTCTTTCTCTTCGTCTTCTCTTCTCTTCTTCTTCTCTTCTTTCTCTTTCTTCTCTTCTCTTCTCTTCTCTTCTTTCTCTTCTCTGTCTCTTCTCTTTCTCTGTCTCTTCTCTTCCTTCTTTTTCCATTCAATGATCTCAACTATCATTCCCAGTGTCAGGAATATTTAAAAATGTGTACCGCTGGCCGGCGTAGCTGGCTTCGACGCCTTTAATCCTAGCACTCTGTTTAGTCCAAAAAAAATGGCAGGGAGGATCGCTCAAGGTCAGGAGTCGGATAACCAGCACTGGAGCGAGAGCGAGACCCGGTCTCTACTAAAAATAGGAAAGAAATTAATTGGCCAATTAACTATATATAGAAAAAATTAACCGGGCATAGTGGTGCGTGCATTGCCTGCTTAGAAGTCCCAAGAAACTATCAGGGAGGCTGGAGGCAGAGGGAGGACTGCTTGAGCCAGGAGTCTGAGATTGCAGTGAGCTACAATCAGTGAGGTTTAGCCGTGGGGTATAGGGCCAGGGCGAACAGCAGCGAGGACCTCTCTCCTAAAAAAAAACCAAAAACAAAAAAACACTGCTGAACATGGTAAGATCTCTTTTGCCCAACCCTGTCATTTGCGACAGGGGAAAAGGGTGATGTAAATCTAACATGCAATATAACACATTAATAGTATTTTTTGGCTGGGTATGGGTAGGCTTCAGGCCTGTCATCCCAGCACATCTGGGAGGCCGGGAGGCGGTGGATTGCGGTGGAGGTCAGGGGATTTCGAAAACCAGCCTGCAGCAAGAGCAAAACCCGCGTCTCTTACTATAAATAGAAAGACAATTAATTCGCAACTAATATATATAGAAAAATTAGCAAGCGATGGCTGGCCGCATGCTTGTATCCAGACTGCTCGGAGGCTGGAAGGCAGCGAGGATTGCTTGCAGCCCAGAGTTTGAGGTGGGCTGTGAGCGAGCTGACGCCACTGGCACTCACTCAGCGCTGGGCAACAAATGCAGAGACCTGTTATTTTTTTTTTTTTTTTTTTTTTAGTGGTGGTAGTGCTGCCCAGTGTTCATTTTAACTGACTAATATCGTGAATAATGTCTTTGCTTATAGGAAAAAGCATTCTAAAATCTTCGTTGCAACCATACTGGCTGATGTATTTCTATTCAGAATCTTGCTATCATTTTTGTTCGTCATAAGAATCAAGTGATGTTTTTGAACGTGAAATATATTGAAATTTTAGAGCTTAAAACTGTTCTCATTGCAACATTGTTAAGCAATGAAAATAAGTGTTTTGGTGAATAATATTGCGGAGCTCAACCAGGGTGTTTCAGTATTGCTGTCATGGTCTTCAAGGCGGGTTGCGGAAGGTCTAGTGTCCGCTGTTAGTTGGCTTGTTTGCTAGTTGGGTGCTCTAGAGAAAAATTTAAACAGCAGAAAGCTGATTTGCCTAATTTTTAGATGATAAGGGCTAAATTCACTAATTTGGCTGTATAACAGATACTGACGGCTTGGATAATTTCATCGCAATTTGTTAGAATTCGCACATGGCCTTCACACGAACTTAAACCTGTAGAGATGGCCATTTCTTGCACAGTAAAGCGTTTCTTGAGCCAAATCACTTTTTTTTTCCCCACCTGGCTTCTCAGGTTTGGGCTGTTACCAGCTTAGGCTAGACATTTCGTATGCCTTCTTTTTAGATGCAATTTGGTTTACGGTGTTTTGCTGTTCACTGTTATCAAGGTGGATTATCGGTGCCAAAGTATTTATGAAGCAGTGGCAAGTAAAGCAGGGTTCCTTTTTACATTTTTTTATTTTCATTTCCTTTTTACTTTTAATAGCTT